CATACATACATACATACATACATACATACATACATACATACATACATACATACATACATACATACATACATACATACATACATACATACATACATACATACATACATACATACATACATACATACATACATACATACATACATACATACATACATACATACATACATACATACATACATACATACATACATACATACATACATACATACATACATACATACATACATACATACATACATACATACATACATACATACATACATACATACATACATACATACATACATACATACATACATACATACATACATACATACATACATACATACATACATACATACATACATACATACATACATACATACATACATACATACATACATACATACATACATACATACATACATACATACATACATACATACATACATACATACATACATACATACATACATACATACATACATACATACATACATACATACATACATACATACATACATACATACATACATACATACATACATACATACATACATACATACATACATACATACATACATACATACATACATACATACATACATACATACATACATACATACATACATACATACATACATACATACATACATACATACATACATACATACATACATACATACATACATACATACATACATACATACATACATACATACATACATACATACATACATACATACATACATACATACATACATACATACATACATACATACATACATACATACATACATACATACATACATACATACATACATACATACATACATACATACATACATACATACATACATACATACATACATACATACATACATACATACATACATACATACATACATACATACATACATACATACATACATACATACATACATACATACATACATACATACATACATACATACATACATACATACATACATACATACATACATACATACATACATACATACATACATACATACAGACACCATCTAAAAATCGCATATTTAGACTTTTTAGACCATATTTAGTTATCCTGACACATCAATTTGGAAACGTAATTTAGAACGATTACAAAGCTTCCATTCATAAGCAAAAACCGGAAAATTGGCCATAAATTTTGATGATACTTCAATCAAAAATGATACTAAAGCAACAAAAATCAGAAAAAAATGGACGCATACCTCCATACAGATCAATCTTTAAAAAAAAAGGTCGGCCCTATCGAGAGAGTTTCTAGGAGTCATAAATCGTTGAGAAAACATGAAATTTCTAAATTCAATTTTCGGTGTCATTACAATAACTTCCTGCTTTCGGGCTGAGAAGTTAAAAAAAATAAAAGCGTAATAAAAAAACGAGAGTAATAAATTTAAAAAATACAGAATCCATTCAGAAGCATATTGTTAATTTGTTAGCAACATAAGCATAACCCATATACAGAAAATGCGATTATCCACTTGTTTTTTACTTCTGCGAGATATTCGTGTTAAGTGCCACGTGACCTTGACCACTGCACTCTGATTGGTCGAACCCAGGAGGAAGTAAATTCTCAGTTGTAGTATTCCGAGACTTTCAAAATTATCGGATATTTCCCGATAGCTTTGTTGCCTAGCAACGAAATAGATGAGTTTTACGGGACAAAAATCACGAGCGCAGGGCGCGAATAATTTTTCTGGAAAACTCATTCCGATCGTTGATACGCAGGAATAGGGTCTAGCCGGATAAGCATGGTAAATCTGTTCCCAGCTAATTTCAAGGCGGCAATTTTTTCACATATTCACCACCCGAAAAAATAATTCTGTGTAAAACTTCAGATCATTATATCGATCCCCTGATTTTTTATGCTTAAAAAACGGTTTTTTTCGATTTTTTTTTCGAGAACTTCAAAGCTACTTAAAAATCTGAAAAAATTCTGAAAAATAAAAAAAAAATTTAAATTGAAGGGAAAAATATTTAATTTATTTTTAATTGTTAAATAATATTTTTGATCGACACTTCTTTTTTTTTTTAATCATTCTCATAGGTAAAGATTTTTCTACTGCTTTGACAAAAATTGACGAGATTCTAGTCTCAATTCCCCATATTTTGAGAAAAAAAAGTTCAAAAATTCCACCTGCAACGCATTTAAAAAAATAAAAACGTCAAATTTTTGCGTTTTTTCATGGAAATCCTTCCGTTAATCATCCCTACAGGTCTGTTAATTGATCACTATATTCAATCTAGTATTGTGGCACATTATACTTTTGAAGGAGAGCAACTGCTGGGCAAAATCGTTAGCATTGCAATAAAAAGATTTGAGTTGACTGAGTTCTTATCTGAGTTTCCAGGCAATATCTCCGAATCTAAGAGAGATAGAAATTTTTTTGTAACGACCTTGTTTGAAACATAGTCATCATATTATCAGTTCAGCGGGGAATTAAGTCGGTAATCTTCAAAATCAATTGGGACCCTTCTGGTCAACAGTCAAGTGTCAGCGAATCACCCGGAAAGGACAGTAGTACGATATAATCAGTCAGTTAGAGTACTCGCTCGGCAGTTCAACAGGCATGTAATAGATTATCAACTCAGTTATTAGTTCAGTCCATCAACTCAGTAGAAATGTTATAGAATATCAAAATTAGAGTCAAATCAACGTAGATTTAGTGAATTAACAAGTATTATAGTTTCTCCACGAGTTAAGTACATCAGCAGTGAATTATCGAAACATTAGAGTAGGATCAACGGAAGGCGCGTGTCGATGCGTCTCTCAGCGTGTACAGTTCCTCACCATTTGAGTTAGATTCAATCGTTACGGCAATTATCGATAGACATTTATCGAAGACATTTAATAGTAATTCAACACCAAAATTAAAAATCCGTTGCGGGTCCCAAAAGTACAAAAATACCTCAAATCTTTCACTCCTGAGAAATTGAATCGAGAAGAGTAGAGGTCACGCAAGTTGTGGACAAAAAGTATTATGCAAACCGTCACGGGAATTGAGTAGATCAAACACACATTTGATATTATCAAATTCGTCATCAAAGCCTTACTATCTCCTGGTGAATGGTGGGTAAAAAATAATATTCAATTATCGGAAATTAGGGAACTAAGTAGAATTAACGTCCACTTGTCAGTTGATAAAAATTGAGAAAATCAAAATGTTGAGGAAAGACTTCGATAGGAGTCATTTCAGATTCGACTATTCTGATTATATATTTAGTTCAATGGCTCATCGCGCTCACTTTGGCCTATACGATACTTTCAATCATTTTGCTCATCCCTTCCATTTGAAACTTCTGATAATTTAACACTCCTGATCATTAGGCTGGTTCCTTTCCCTCATTTGCTGAGCTTGCCTGATTTTTACAAGGAAGTATGAAACCAACTTGAGATTTTTAATGGAAAAAATCAATCTATAATTTGAAATTATTAATTTCTGAGAATTATTTATTTCTGATTTACAATTTTTGCCCTCTAATTGAACCATATTTTTTAATTCATTCGATTCCTTCGAGGTTTCCTGACCCTGAATTTGTTGAAAAAGAAAATTTACATAGGAATCTACTTAGCTTCGGGATTCCATCATAATCTGCGTTCCATTCCAATAGGGGAGCGGTAAAACGATTTAAGCCGATTTTATTATTGGTCAGTTTTTAATGAATATCTCGGAATCTAACGCAGATATCCATTGTTTTCTCATAAACTTTTCTGTTGAGCAAATCGAATTTACCAAAATTTCTTTGGAGCTTTTTGAACTCAAATTTGATACAAATTGAAATTGGACTTATGTTTCACTTCAGTAGCGTAGCAGCAAAACGGTTCAAGCCGATTTTGGAATTGATTAGTTTTCAATTGATATCTCTGAATCTAATGCAGAAACCATTTTTCATATAACCCTTTTTGTACAGCCGAGGAAGAATTACAAAAAAAATTATTCAAATCGTTTAACCGCTTCGCTAGCGATTTTGCCTAGCAATTGCTCTCCTTCAAAAGTATGACGTGCCATAATAGTGAAGTAGATATAATAATCAATTAACAGACCTGTAGGGATGATTAACGCAAGGATTTCCATGAAAAAATGCAAAAATTTGACGTTTTTATTTTTTTTGAATGTGTTGCAGGTAGAATTTTCGAACTTTTTTTCACTCAAAATGTGGGGAATTGAGGCTAGAATGTCGTCAATTTTTATCAAAGTGGTAGAAAAATCTTACCTATGAGAATGATTTTTTAAAAGAAAGAAGTGTCGATTAAAAATATTATTTAACAACTAAAAATCAATTAAAATTGTTTTTCTTCAATTCTGATATGTTTTTGATTTTCCAGAATTTTTTCAGATTTTTAAGTAGCTTCAAAGTACTCGGAAAAGAATAAAATTGAAAAAAACCGTTTTTTAAGCATAAAAACTCAGGGGATCGATATAATGATCTGAAATTTTACACAGAATTGTTTTTCTGGGTGGTAAATATGTGAAAAAATTGCCGCCTTGAAATTCGCTGGGGGCAGATTCACCATACTTTTCCGGCTAGACCCTTTGAAGAAAATATCTGATGAATTTCAAAGGTTCAGGGGTATTCGCAGAATTACCTTCCGTCTGGGTTCGACCATGGTTGCATGGTGCGCTTCGCGCAGCCGCGTTTGGTTTCAACAGTGCGCTGACGTTTCGCAAACATTGCAGTCTGCATCTTTAGGGCTGTGAGCTCCGATTCTGAGCTCCGACGTGCGGGGGTCGTCCTTATATGACCTCTCTTAGGTTTGGTGGGGAAGGGGGGGTCAGTCAATCAGGTTTTTTAATCGATCAGCTGATCAATTGAAAACTGGGAGGACGGTTTTCCTAATAGCGTTCACCTGATATCCTCTATCCCTGTGTAGGTTATTAGGGTTTTTATGGATCTCCAGGCCTTCCCGATATTTTTTTTGGAAATACCCTTGGGAGTTGGCCAGCATTCTGGCTTGGTCATACTGGTTAGTGTGTCCAGTATCCATCCAGCATTCAGCCAGGGCAGACTGTTCCAAGTGACCATATTTGGAGCACCGTTGGTTTTTCTTGATCCGTGTACTGATCAACACTAATCTTCCTCCCGATTTCTCCGATGTACACTTTTCCGTATGAGCAGGGGATTTCATATACCCCAGGCGCGCTTAAGGGTGGTCGTGGGTCCTTAGCACTTCGCAACAACTGTCCGATCTTTTTTGGAGGTTGAAAGATCGTTCGGATGTTATGTTTGCCTAGGATCTTACCCATGCGGTCCCTGGTACCTCTTAGGTAGGGGAGGATGGCCACTTTGGATCTCTCTTGGTTTTCCTCAGGTCTAGACTCCTCTTGAGGAGCTGATAGATTGTTCTGTAGCCTATTCTTGATCCTTCGAATTTGCTGCATCTTGTACCCATTGTTGCTAAAGGCAGGTTCAAGATGTTCAACCTCGCTGTCAATGTTGGAGGGCTGGGAAATGCTGAGGGGTTTGTACATCAAGAAACTGATTACAGAGTTTTTCTGGGACAGATAATGATGGGAAGTGGCATGAAGATACCTGTCTGGCATGTGTTAGCTTGCGGCAAACCTGTTGACCTAAAGTCCCATCTGGGTTACGTTGGACGAGGACATCCAGGAAAGGGAGGCATCCATTTTGCTCAACTTCCATGGTGAAATTGATGTTTGTGTGTTGGGTATTTAAGTACTCCAGGAAGTGTGCTATTTCAGCTCTCTCATGTGACCAAGTGACGAAAGTGTCATCCACGTATCTGAACCACACAGAGAGTGTTTGCGAAGCTGACTTCGATACTTCATTTTCGAAGTATTCCATGAATATATTTGCAACAATAGATGAAGTGGGAGAACCCATAGCGGCATGTAATTTTTGCTCATAGAAGTCTCCTCCAAATTGGAAGTATGTAGATGTCAAGCAGTGCTCAATCATAGGGAGAAGTTTGGAAAGGATATCCCTGGATTTTTGGATTATCTCCGAGTTTTCCGAGGCAGTTCTGAGAGTTCTCAGTTTGGTTACAAAATCCAGAGAGTTTTCAATGTAGGAACCATATCGACCAATCAACTTTTGGAGTGGTTTCGTGAGAAACTTTGCTATTTGGTGAGTTGGCCCCTCAATGTTGCTGACGATGGGACGGAGAGGAACAGACTCTATGAATTTTTGGGAGTCCATAGAGTCCGGGGGGGGNGATTCTTTGGGAATGAGGAACTTACAATTAGTCAAGTCAGGTGAAAGGCTAGCTTTCTTCAGGAGTTCGGTGGTTTTGCCCTCAATAGTGCGAGCAAGATCTTTTCTGAGTTTGGTGTAAACTCTAGAGTCACCTAGCATTGTACTGAGCTTTCCGGAGTAGTCATCCCTATCCATAACCACCGTGGCATTGATTTTGTCCGCCGGAAGAATAATAATATCATTATTCTCCTTTAGACTACGCAGTACAAGGCGTTCCTCCTTGGTGATATTATCACTAGGGGGAGTGGCTTTGTGGAGGATATTGGACAACTGTCTTCGATTACATTACCAGTCTCTTGAGGCAGATAGTAAATAGCCATTTCAGTTTGACTGATAATTTCCTCGGGGATTTTTTCGGGGATTTTCTTGGGGCGAGAGTGAAGTTGTGTCCCTTTACGAGCACCGACACCTGTGCTTCATTGAGCTGGTGTTTTCTCAGATTCGTCACGGTGTGGGTGAGGGTTTCGGCTTGGACCTGTGGGATTAATTTTCTGAATTTGCCTTTTTGAGTCTCAGAAGGATGGTGTTTGCCTGCTTGGAGGGAAACGTACTCTTCAAACGGAGGAATTTTGGTACCACCTGATGGTCCCGGCACCTTTTTAAGAAGGTTAAGGAGCACAGTTGGACGTGCAACGACTTCCTAAGTTTAATGAATAAGTTCACCGACCCAAGAATAGCCTCTCCGTGGAGGCATTTAATATTAGTTTTGAGGCTTGCGGGTCATGATTATTAGTATTATCATTGGCTTCCGGATGGATGCCGCGTTTGGTTTCAGCATTGCGCCGACGTTTCGCGAACATTGCAGTCTGCATGTTCAGGGCTGTGAGCTCCGATGCTGAGTTCCGACGTGCGGGGGTCGTCCTTCTATGCTCTTCCTCAGGTGTGGTGGGGGAGGGGGTGTAGCGCCTCGCTACATCCTAACACGCGAATACTGGCTAACGACGAGCACAGGCATTTGCTCTCTCACTCGCACCTTCAGTGCCATGCGTATTCTTTTCTGATTCGTCAAATCGGAAGGATATTCGGCAGCCTCGCTGACATCTTTCCGTGCGAATATAATTTAGTCTAAGAGTACAGCTCGTATCGCACATTTGATCGGATCATATCATTTTCTCTTCACTTTTGTATTAATTTGTCGTGGATAATAAATCTGTAATTATTAGTTTAATTGCATTTGTTAGTTACTCAATCCCTACAGGAGGGAGGGTCATCCAATCAGGGTTTTTAATTGATCTGCTGATCAATAAAACACCCTGATTGGCTGACCCCCTCCCTCCCCCACCACACCTAAGGGAGGGCATATAAGGACGACCCCCGCACGTCTGAACTCAGAATCGGAGCGCACAGCCCTGAAGATGCAGACTGTAATGCTTGCGAAACGTCGGTGCAATGCTGAAACCAAACGCGGCATCCATCCGGAAGTCAATGCTAATACTAATAATCATGGCCGCGAAAGCCTTAAAACTAAGATAAGGTTCACAATATTTATTGATGAAATTCCTGAAAAAATGCATTCGACAAAGGAAAATTAGAAAGAGTAGCCGGATAACAAGATTTTGTGAAAAACTGAAATCTTGCTAGATGAAAGTTGCAAACTTGAGATGTACTAGGATATATCCTTCTTGGTGAGTGGAATGTCAATTGGTCAATTGAGTGGGATTATTTTCGAGAGTGATGACAATTCACACATGGTATATTGGATAATAGTATATTTCTAACCTAGGGAGGGAAAATAAAGGATCCTCAGCCGCCAGTGCAATTACCAGCCGAGCCGAAGGCGAGGTTGGTAAGCACACGGCTGAGGGTCCTTTATTTTACTTCCCGTGGTTAGAACACGACTTTCAGTCTAGGCGTAGGCGCAAAGTCAGAGGTCCCTCCCGCGAAGCGGGAGGGAAATGTGACTTTGCGCCCGCCGGGACGGAATACATCTTTATTACCACTTTTCGGGTATTTGCTGTAGTTTCGGAGTGAGAAACTCAAGTAGTTCAATCAATTTAGACTTTGAGGCGGACATCAAATTTCTGTCGAAACAATAGATATTGGGATGTTCAGAAAATTACGCTGTTTAACATCAAAAAATGCATTTCTGAAAATGACCGCAAATATAGTCAATTCATTAAAAACAATTGAAAATTCACCTCTCAATGCCTCTAACAATGACAGCTTCAGTTTAACTCAACGAATCGATGGAAAAAAATACCAATTTGTATAGGAAACAGTGATCTACGAAATTGATGCGGGAAGCTACATATGCGGTCATTTTCAGAAATACATTTTTTGATATATTAATCAGCGTAATTTTGTGAATACCTCAGTATTTATTATTTCAACAGAAATTTTGTTTTCGGGTTTTCATGGACAAACGGCCTAGATTGACTGGACTAAAGTGAGTTACAGTCAATGAGGATTTTGAAACTTTACTTCGGGAAACGCTTAAGTATTACAATTTCCCTTGCAGAAATTCAAAGTCGATTTTATGTCCCGGATGTTTCTGTGCGACATTACGTGTCAGAGCGAAAACCGTAAGGAGCCAAAGCACGCTCCGAAAATACGGTGGGAGCTCGCCGCCCGACGTGTGGTCGCGTCTGTGGGCGAACTTCTGATTATGACTGCCCTTTAGAAACTACTTTCGTTTTATAAGTTAGAAATGTGTTGTTAAGTGGGTAAAAATGAACAAAAATGTTTGGCTTGGATTTTCCACAATAGATTGCAACTGGAAAAGGTTCAGAAATACTCGGTGTTAAATTCTGCAGAATACAGAACAAAATCCTATCGAGTTTGATTCAAATAGGTCTATGCTATCCGTAACTGTGGTTGTATCACGTCTGCAATGTGCACATTTGGATCTACCACTGTACGGATGTTTTCCTCCGTACCCAGATCAACTATCTCTCGCATTGGATTTTCAGCTGGATCAGGAATATTTTTAATCTGGTAATTAGGTAATCAACGGATGATATGCTCAAGGAAGTACTTGCTATTGCTGGCACTTGTGGTAAATGTTTTATTTTTATTTTTAGCAACTCTCCTACATCCACATCAGGACATAATGAATAATTTTATTATCATGCACTTCCATTATTGATAATTACCAGATGAACAATTCCACGTCAAATCCGAGACCAAAAAATGTCATGTTTTCGAATGTCTTGCCGAAATTTTTTGTGAAAGAGTCCATGGGACCAAACTATCATAAAGTTTTTAGAGCCTTTCGATTTTTTTTCAGCGTGTTATGATATTTCAAAAAATTTCACTTTTTACACTTGAATGTTCATTGTTTAAGAAAAAGGTGAAATGATTGAATTTATGTCACCGTGCAGAAGTCGAGAAGTCGACTCAAACTCGACTTCTGCACGGTGACATAAAATATTATGCAGATGACTTGGGCATAAATTTCGTTTTCAACGAATCTGAGTACAGACTTCGTCTTCGACTCGGCCTGTAAACTGCACATTCGTCGAAAACGAAATTTGTGCCTTTGTATTCTAATGTACTATTAATAATTAGGAATCGAATTTTTCTTTTCACACATCAAAAGGTAATTGAAATAGCTTCAAAATGAGCGTAATTGAATTCAATTTACTCAATTTTTAGAGCCGTGATGGGGAAATTAATTTTTCATCACGCTGTGACGAAAAGTGAACTTTTCGGCACGCTCCGTGTGCCTAAAAGTCCAATTTCCGCCACATTGTGATGAAAAATATTGTTCGTAACTCGTGAAAAAATGCTTTTGCACTCGTTACGAAATATACTATTTTGTCACTGCTGCTACGTTCAGCCCGTATCGAAAAGTGCCTTTTTGTTTACTATTAAACGAAAAGTCGAAACTTGTAAACGAAAAGACTTTTCGTTTACTAGTAAACGAAAAATGGCACAGTTCGGCACTCGCTGAACGTAACATCACTAACAAAATAGTATATTTCGTAACGAGTGCAAAAAAGTATTTTTTGGCGAGTGGGAGGTTTCGCCTTCGGCTCGTGATATAATCCCACGAGCTAAAAAACATTTTTTCACGAGTTACGAACAATATTTTTCATCACAATGTGGCGGAAATCGGACTTTTAGGCACGCGGAGCGTGCCGAAAAGTTCACTTTTCGTCACAGCGTGATGAAAAATATAGTTCGGATGCACGTGCGACGGGGTGTTTTAACTGGTGTGATTGGCAGCCCTCGGCTTCGCCTCGGGCCGCCAACTTCACACTCGTTACCACCCCGTCGCACTTATATCGAAATATACTATTTTTTTCAAACTGCAATTACTCAAAACTTTTTTTTTATCTGAAATTTTAGGGGTACCATGGGGACATGATTGCCAACCGAAGGACATCAATTTCTTCGCAAGTGTTCACTATTAAACTCATGATATTCTTCACTTCGGAAAATGTCGTGGAAAAATTCATAAATTAGATCATTTATTATTACTACTCACCCGTTGTGATAGCTACCATTATGAACAGAACTTAGATTAAAAAAATGGAAGTAAAGTAGACGGATATTATTGAATGAGAGCGGAGATCGAACTAGTTTTGGAAAGAAAGCTTCGAATCCTTGAGAAAAACTTAGTTGTTCTGAAATAATTATTGCGTCACAAGGCTGAAATAGTTATTTTCATCACACTGTCTGGAAACGGCGTTTGACGGACACGAAGCGAATTTGACGTGGTATTGCTCAGATATCCTTCACTTATCCCATAACCTCTCCCTTATCACCATGTGACTGAACTAAATGGATAGGGCCTGACGGAAGCTCGCCCTTATGCGTTCGAAAGAGCGAAGTTCGATGCAGGCGGTCGATCTCGCCCCGGTGCGTCCTAGAGGGCAAACACCCACTGTCTCCTCGACAGACAAAGTCGGCCCGCCAGCCACAATTTCTACCCGGGTTAGTATAAAATTCACAATTGCAGTTAACAGACTTTAGAATCATTATAAATTGAACAGTTTAAATAGCATTTTTGAATAATTGTTGAATTTCTTAGAAAATTAATGAATATGTCGTTTTGAAACGGAACATTAACAAAGTCAGGGGCCATTGTTACAATAGGTGACACTGATGTATCGTCCGGTTGTCTCAGTTCTATCGCATACCATTCGCTGAAGTCCCTCACATTTACTCTTGAAATTGCTCAGTAGCAAGATCGATAGCCATGAGGTATGGAAAAGCAAATGGTTGTTTTACTACTTCATAGAGCAACGACAATTTTGTTACGAAATTGATATTGATCTGCGAGATGCTCTCAACACCAAGTCGATATTGATAGATAGCACCATTGACTAAAATGTAATTTTTCAATTATTGATAAAAGAATGTATCAATATCAATC